GTCAAGGACTGAACGAGTTGGAAAAACAGCTTGAACAGCTAAGAGATGCCAACAGACAGCTGACAGAGGTCAATGACGGGATGACTCGCCAACTAGAAGCTGTTAATCAGGTAGGTCAATCCAGCTATTTTATAATTGAGTAAATTTTTAGGGAATGACATCTTCTTTTTTCTAAGCATCAGCTATTTTGACCTAAGTCCTTGTCTGACTCTACCTCGGCGGTTCTCAACTTCTGGGTCGCGACCCCTTTGGGGGTTTAATGACCCTTACCCAAGGGTCGCCTAAGACCATCGGAAAACACATATTTATGAAGTAGCAACGAAAATAATTTTATGGATGGGGGTCACCACAACATGAGGAACTGTATTAAAGGCTCACAGCATTAGGAAGGTTGAGACCACTGCTCTACCTGTAGTATACCACTTTGCCGTTTATGATTCAAACAGTCTCAAGGCTTATCAAGTCATTAGCCTCTCAGCGGTTAGACTTTCCATAATCAAAGTTTTCAACAATTCTTTAACAGGAAAATACAAGAATTAAACAATCTACGGGCAGCTCTTTAACCAAAGCAGAATCTGACAGGTTAGTATTTTATATTTTACTGAGTTTGCTTATCACAGTTTTTGACTCAAGCTTCAGAAGGAATACAGCTTCTTACATTGACAGGGTCATAGGGTAGGCTCTACAAATTATGACATTATGCATTGTCCAAAAAGATGTCATGAAAATGTCAAATACTGTACAAACACTTATTTTGACAGTGTTTAAATGCTGACAATTTGTACTCCTCAAACTAACCTGTCCTGTGTGACGAAGGAAGATTGAGTTCATGTAAGAGGGGAAAGGAAATAGTTTTTGAGATTCTGTTTATTTCTTTCTTTTAAAAGAAGAATTGCACCCATGACCAGGCTGTACCTCAAAAATTTATTTATACCACATAAAATAAACAAAGAATTCATAAACCTCATAATATAAATTTAATTTGGATTAAAATTTTAACACCCCCACCCAAGGTTACGTGAAGAAAATCTGAAACTTGAAAGTGATTTGGATAATCTGAGACAAGAATTTCAACATTTAATGAAAGCTCATGAAGAAAGTGATAAAAATAAAGGTATGTATTTGTATGTAATTATCACTTCTAATCTTTTGCACTGGACCCTTCTCTGGCTATGAAAGCAGCTTAAAGTGAACTTTAAAACCCTTTATATTTATTAAGAGTTCAAGTTTGTATGTTTATTTAAAAATGGAAAGGTTTGAACAATGTGGAAAATGCTTAAGCCAAATAAGCACTACATTAAAAAAAAATTACAAGGAGTAAACAAAATTTGAAAATTAAAATTTTTTTTTTATAACTTTTAAATTAAATTTAATCTGTATCTGTAGCTATTTAAAGGCATATTAATCAATTAGAACTTTCCCAATCATAGTTAAATAGCAGAATCTGTCATCTAGTATTTTGTTAAAAAGTCCATTAATTACTGGATTTCAGTAACATATTTTTTTAAACAACTTATGAACGTACTGGGATTATTTTCAGTGTAAAAATAATTGACTGTCTTTTGACAACCCAAGTTAAAGTACACACACAGCCTCAAGCATTTTTGTCTGTGTTAAATACATTTGAAAATGCCACTAATTATTGAAAAGGCCAAAAGGTTTTGAAAGATGACTCTGTTAATCAGCAGCTATTATCAATGTTCATAAAACATCTTCATGTCTACTGTTTGAAATCTTTTCTGCCATAAAACAGACACAGCTGACATAAATAAGCTAAGGAAAGAAAAAGATGCTGTTCAAAAGCAAGTCACCTTATTGCAAGGGCAGATAAATCTGATAGAAGGAAGTAAGAAGAGAGCTGATGATGAAATAAGGAAGCTGACCTCTGAACTGGATGACTTAAAGGTGAAATTGAGCAACAGTAACACAGGGAACATTCAAAGGTCAGCTAACTGAAGTGTGCCCTATGTGATAAACAAATATATTTTAGTAAACTTTTAAGAACAGATTTAAGCATGAAATATCTCATTAATATTCTTATCTAGTCTAAACGTCCAAGTTAATTTGTCTTAAAGTTATGGGTGTACTGAAATTTGTATAATCCCAGTTTATAATCTTAATACAACTATTATTTTCTTCCTTTTTTTTTTACAATTGCCTTCCCTTATAACAAAATTTTATTTGAGGAAAAAAAAAATATTCATTGTTTTGGGAACCATGTATAGAATAGTTGTGTCTTTCTATGCTATATTTTTAAATCTAATTGGTGACAAATGATTTTTCTTACAGAGATTCACATGAAGCAGATGCTGAGCTGAAAAAAGAGATAGAGACACTGAAACAAGAGCTACAGAAGGCCAAAGAAAACCAAAGACAACATGAAAAAATGATGAAAAATTTTAAACAGGTATTTACTTTAAAAAAAATATTATTTTAGGATAACATCTAATTATGTTTGTGTCACCATCAATGAAAAGTGAAAGTTTAATATTCATGTGTGTACGATCTAATGGACAACATTGGTCTCAGAGAAACCTAAATGCCAAGTAGATTTTTCTACACAAAATCTGGGAATTATGGTTTTTGACGTTAAGTAAAGTCTAAACTTGTAGAGAACTACATCATCTTTAGTTGTAGCCACAGTCTTCATATAATACAGAACATTTAGCCGGATTTGGACTCGGTCAATTAGTACTTTTTAAGCTGGGGAAGTTTGATGTAAATAAATAGTGCATTAGGATAACTGAAATAAAACCATTTCTTTTGGCATGCACATTAGTGGCATTTCATGGAGAAGTATCATTTGTGTGTGTGCTCCTTTAATGGCTGTTGCTATACAAACAGATAAAGTGTACACTGCCTAGCAGTGCCTTGAAAATATATGACTGCCTTCTGAATATGAATGTTAAGTGACTCGATTGTGGATGTGGGTCATCTTCAAATGGATGTGGGTCCCACAAATGGATGTGGTAAACTCTCTAATGGATGTGGGTCACTCTCAAATGGATGTGGGTCACTCTCAAATGGATGTGGGTCACTCTCAAATGGACGTGGGTCACTCAAATGGATGTGGGTCACTCTCTAATGGATGTGGGTCACTCTCTAATGGATGTGAGTCACCCTCAAATGAATGTGGGTCACTCTCAAATGGATGTGGGTCCCACAAATGGAAGTGGGTAACTCTCTAATGGATGTGGGTCACTCTCAAATGATGTGGGTAACTCTCTAATGGATGTGGGTCACTCTCAAATGGATGTGGGTCACTCTCAAATGGATGTGGGTCAGTCTCAAATAGTCTTGATCAACTTATACACAGCTGTTAATTAATATTTTATTGTAAATCAATTATTGATACAACTTTTACTTGAAATCAGGATAACATGAATGATCCAAGCGTTGTAATACAAGAGTTGAGGATGAAACTGCAAGAGCATGACAATGACAAGTATAAGAATGAAAAAATTATTGAAAATCTTGAGAGGGAGCTGAGGTTCACTAAAGAACAAGTTGGATCAAGGTAATAAAAACATTTGTTAATTATTTAATTCATTAATTAAAACCCTATCACATTACATTTTTATCATCCTCATTTTTGAATTATTTTGATTAACCCCTATAATCCTCTATTTAAAAAAATATTAAGTTCGGTTTTCATCTGCAGTTTGAACATAGTCAGTGTGTCAAAATAACTTCATATGAGTCAGTCCATCCATCCATCTCTTTTGTGCTACAGCCCATGTAGGGCTTTGGCCTGCCTCTCTACTTCCTTCCACTCAGACCTAAGTATTGCTTTTTTTTTTTCCATTCTTGGATTCCCAGCTGTTGTAGACTTTTTTCCACATCATCCATCCATCTAAGCCTTTGAGCCATTTTCCTCTGGGGTCATATGAGTCAATGTGTCAAGTTTACTACCATCTGACAGTTTAATGTTGTATCACAGTCTGTGATAGTTGCAGGGTCATATGAGTCAATGTGTCAAGATTACTTCCATCCAACAGTCTAATGTTGTATCACAGTCTGTGATAGTTGTCTAGGATATTTTGGTTTTGGTTGTCTCTGAATTAATTCACAATTCTCCAACCTTGATTTTCATTTCCGAATATTTACCAAGTCAGTGGTGTGTTAGGGTTCCATGACAACAAACATTTTTCTAAGTGAAAAAATTCCTACATCTCCAGGGAACGTGAGATGAAAGAACTCTTAAAGAGTGTGGAGGAAATGGAGGCAGAGAACAAGACTCTGAGGCAGGATGTCCAGGAGATTAGAGACACTCTTGCTGCTGAGCTGGCCCAGGAAAAAGCTCAACAAAATAAGTGAGCATTTTGTTGTGTCATGAGATAATTTAATCGGATATGTCTTTATGAAAAAGTGAGCTAATCTATTTCCTTTTTTTGATAAATTTAAAAGCTGTTTATTTATTTACAATAAAACAAGTGATCTCAATACTCTATTGCAGCAGCAAGTGTGGATATGCTGAATAAAAATTTCTTGTCACCAGCCATTTAACAATACAACAACACATTGGATTAACAGATCTCCTTGTATTGTTAACAAAAAAAAAATATTTTTAAAAATACCTTTCAGTGGAATAAAAATACAAAATTTAGCTAATATACTTTTATTAGAGTTGAAAAATGTTGAATAAGTATAAACAGAATGGGTTTTTTGATGGTTTATTTGACATATTGTTGTTTGAAATTTAAAAAATTAAAACTATCAATTGAAACTATTTCATATTTTTTACAGAAAACAATCCAAACCAGAAAGTAAGTATGTTTTTATGGGGTATTTTTTTGGGGGTACTATTTATGGTTTGGATAAGAAAATAAATTAAGCTTTGTCTTATTTGAAAAATGACCATGAATCTTTTGAGAGCGTGAAACAGAAATCATCGTGTAACTGAACAGTTAAACTTGGATAAGTCACTTTATTTGGAGTAGGAGGAATTATTTCTTAGAATTGTAAGATTCTACTTGATTTTTGTGTGTTTCCATTTGCAGAATCATTACAAGAGGAGTTGTCTGAAGCTGTTAAATCAAAGGTAGATCAATTTATATTTATTTAGTTTTAACACATTAATTTTGAATAATGTGTTCGCTTTCTTTTTATTTTTATTAGTAAAAAAAGAATATTTCAATTTATATTTTACTCTTAAAAACAACCATCAACATAATATAAATGTGCTATTTTTGTATTAATAAATGAAACTCATAACTCGTTCATTACAGTTAGAAGTGCTGTATTGTTTGAGCGCTTGGGATAAATCTGTTTCTTTAACTATTTCAGAATAATGGAACTGGGCTTTTGAGCCCGAAATCTAATCCCTTTCGAAGCAAGTCACTTCACCACTTGGACCTTAGACCGGCCAGTGCACCACCGAGTCCTTCAGAGCCAGGTAAAATTCAACACAGAGGTCAATATGGAGGCTTGTTCTTTAATTGTAAGTACAGATTCCCAGACCAGCCGGTAGGCTTGACCTGTAGAACAGAACCCATCTTTTGTTGGCTGCACTCAAGTAGACCTGCTTCAAGTTAGTTCCCTTTACCCACCTGACTTAGTGTATTTATGGCTCACTTCAGTAGATCACAAAGAGCACTTAGTAGCAACAAATTTGGGATAACAGAATTTTAACAATGTTAGATGTACTTTAAATTATTTAATTTTGCCACATTTAATTTGGCCTAGATATTAATTGAGAGATGGTTGTAGTTTGACAGAAAGGTTTTATGAGCACTCAGCACTCAACTAATTCTTATTTAAGATCTACTGCACATTTTTCCTCTGTCACTAATTGACCTCAGAGAGTTGAGATTTAGTGTTATCAAAGGCACCTACTAATAACAAAACTGCACTTCTTAAGATAATGCTGTAGGGCACACCATCCAATACTTAAGTCATCTGTAAAATAGGATCACTCCATGTCTTTCTTTAACCCACTGCTTTATTATATGAAATAGCAGATAGATGGGAAAAAAAATTGCATAAAAATTATTGACATTCAGATATCAAGGTAAATGTTAGATATATAACCAAAATAAAAACTTGATTTATCATGGATAGATTCTGATAAATTATGAGCTTATTTCAAACTAAAGACACTGATTGGGAAATAGCCAGAAACAGTAGAATATTCTGAAAGTTAGACATGGTCATAATAACGTGATCATGAAAGCCATGGAAGGGAGGTAAGTAGTATATTAAATAGTTTAGCTGTTTGAATCCCTGCTTTAAGTATTCAGCATTTGAATAAAGAAAAATAATATTCTCATATTTTGCTTTTGTATACAGTTATGATTTAGTCTCTTAATAGTTGTTTTGGAAAGAGACATGACAAATGATGGGAAATAAAAACTTGATCTGTAAATGGTGATAGTTTTATAATTATTTAAATCTGTTACACATTTTAAGATCACTCCTAAGTATATTATTATTTTTTTTTAAAATGACATTTTAATTAGGTTACCTTAAGGTAGTGGCCTCTAACTGGTGCTCAGTGGAGCCCTCAGGGCTCTGTGGAGACTTCTCAGAGGCTCTGTAGGCACTTCTCAGGGTCTCCGTAGCCACAGAAGGAAATAAAAAATGAATTGAATGTAATGATAAGAAACAAAAAACAGAGTCGAATAACAACTGGAAATTAAATTTTGAACATCTTGAATGTATGTCCAAGTGATTTCTTGAAACGGAACTTTTGAGAAATTTATGTCCCTTGAGCATTCCTGAATCCACTTGAAGCTTCAGGAAACTAAGCAAAAAATATTTAGAGGCTGGCTAGTTGGTTTGAAGGCAGTTAAAAGTGAATTGTCATTGCAATAAAATTCTGATTTTTGAGTGATTCTTCCGCCATTTAAATGTGCTTTTAACCACTTTTTGAAGGTTATCTTTGTCTTTGACCTTGTGAGTGTGATTTGTGTATCAAGAATCAGAGTAAAAAAGTTCGCACAACAAATCGATGAATCAACTGTTGTTGCTAGCTTGGTGGATTTAGTTGACTTTCATGTTTTTTTTTTCCTACAAAGCTGTCAGGAGGATCTTCTTCTTTGCAGACCACTAACAACCAGATCAACGAGGGTTGAAATAATCAATCTTTTGGATGGATTCTTCTCATCAAATGATTTTCCATGGGAAAACTGTGCAGATCTATGTACATTTAGTGAAAATTGTGCAGATCTATGTACTGATGGTGAAAAGGCAATGATGAGAACAATAAACGATTGTTAAAATTAAAAAAAAAATGCAAAGAAATTTAGCAGCAGACATTGTGTTCTTCTTAGACAGGTGCCAGCTGTGAGAAAAATGCCTTCTGAGCAAATGATAGTGTTGAATGATGCCATAAAAAATATATATACCTCTTGCAAGCAGGCTCTTCAAACTAATGTGAAGCGAAGGAGCTTCGATGACTGTAAATGGGTACTGAATGTGTTCTTTGTGATTAAAAACAAAAGTTTGAACTCAGCAGAATATGAAGGCCTACGGTATTATAGATCTGATGTCGCACATCAAAATAAAAAAAATCATGTTCCAGAACCAAAGTGTGCCGGAATAACGGATGCATTTACAAGATGAATTGAAAATGTTGTCTGAGAAAGCAAAATTATTATTGCTGCCTTTCGCCACTTCATGTCTCTGTGGGAGCGGGATCTCAGCCTGTCCAGCAAATGAAATGAAATAATAACCGGCTTAAATGCAGAACCAAACATTGGCCTGCACTTATCAACAGTTTTAGCCTGAAATAATAATACAAAAAACTGCATAAATAAACCGCAGGTCTCATTAAACAGGCACCATTATGTTATGTGATGTTATGTTATTGTATCTGAGGGGCTGCCCAGCGCCGACCCCCACCATGGTGCCTTTCTTAAATACTATTAGCTTGTAAGGCATAAGGTGGATCTAAGGGGCTCCCCATAGAAATTGATATTTAAAGAGGGCTCTAAGGGAATTAATTTTTTTGTCTCTTACATACAAACCTTGTTGTTCCCCTTTGGTGAGTGAAAATATTTAAGAACTTTTGACTGTAATATTTTTCACAACCTGGGAAGTAATAAAGAGGTTCTTAGAATTAGAGCATTGATGGTGTATATCTCAAAGCCCCTGTTAACAAGGGTAAACTGTAATTACAAGTTTTATATGATATCAGGAACTATACTTTATGGAAGGATCTAGTTCAGTGGTTCTCAACCTGAGGAGTTTTGACTTATTCAGGATTTGTCTGACAATATGCCAGGGAACTTCATTAATTTAATTTCCTTTTTTTAAATGTAATTTTTACATTATTTGTAACCCCTTTTATTTTAAAATATAAATATTTTGTAACTTTTAATAGTTCTTTGTACAATTCACATACAAAAAAGAGTACATTTAAAAAAAAAATAGTTTTAACAAAATTTAAAATACATTTCCGAAAGAAAAAAAAATATGTCCAAATTGCTGTTTTGTGAAATGATTATGTTTTAATAACAAAAATAAAATGTGTGAACAATGTTTTAAAACTATTAGATATTGATAATTCAATCACAGTCCGTACCCACCCCCTTAACTTCTTAGAATCGTAAAATATTGTTCAGGGTAAAATATGTATTTATTTATGTGCTGAAAATGAATATGTACAATGTAATAAAAATATTTTCATTTTTATCTATTTTATGTTAAATATATATCATTTAGTAAGTGAGATTTCCTGTCTTTAAGAGAATATGTTAATTTAGACCTTGAAGTTTTTACAAAAAAATATGTGTTCACATATCCATGATAGGAACATAATTCATTTATTTAAGTTTAGTTTGCATTTTAAAAAAAATCAATTTTTTAATAAAAATTAGAATGTTCTTACAAGCCTAACATGTTAACAACATTAGATGACTTGTCAATTTAGAATTAGACCTTAATTGTACTATTCTGGCATTTAGTTTAAGTTATTGGGATTTATATGCAAATATTTTCAGTTTATACAAGTTCGTCATGTATACTCTGAATCATGCAGTCATTTAATCTTGGGTTAGATACACAACTATAAAGATTTAGCCCACATCAAAGTCTTGTGTTTAAATGACTCAACATTTCAAACATTTTTTGTATATATTATTTGATATTATTTTTTTGTTTCTTGCTCATTATTTATTCATCACTAATGACATTATAGGATTTTATAATCCAGAGCAATTTTAGACCTTATTTTACTACCAATAAAGTTTTAATTATGCCTGGAAGAATCAAGTTTTAATCTATATTTCATCATATTTTCTTAAAAGTGCCAGATAAGCCATCTTCAGATGGAACCAACAGACTCCAGTCACTTATCTCTAAATACAGAAGTCACAACGAGTCAGAAGAAAGCAAGGCTGCACCACCGGTGGTGCCGCCTAAAATCGTCTACAAGAACAGACTTGGCATCACAGCTCCCAAATCACCATTGAAACAAGCCAGTGAGGATCCACCCACTGATCCACTGGTGCCACCATCTAGCAAGGTGGCAGAAGCTCCAGCCAACTCCAACTTGTTGAGTGTCAAGCTCGGTAAAAAACTCCCTCCGGCTCCTTTTCCTAAGCCAGCATCTCCTACCACCCTGGGAACAAAGTCGTCATTCATGCGCACAATTTCTGGTGACGTCGCCAGTAAGGACACCTCACCAAAACCTACCTCAGCATCCCCGCTGTTGTCCCTTAGACACTCTTTGCCATTGACAAGCTCATCGACAGCCAAAACTCTCAACAGTTCTGGACTTGGTCAGTCACTGGGCAGTGCAGAGGGTACCAGCGATACCCAGGAGCAGAAAGATATCAACGCTTTGATTCAGAAGTAAGTGCTCATGTTTAATGATAACACTTTGAGGACAAAACTTTCATTATTTGCCATGTTACATATGCTGATGTTGCTTTGTGTTAATATGTGTGCCTCACATCTTGAATAGACTTCTAATGTAGTCCTAGATTTGGCAGCCTTGATATTGCTCTGTGTTAATATGTGTAACTCACATCTTGACTAGACTTCTAATGTAGTCCTAGGTTTGGCAGCCTTCTTGGGACAGGTTGAGAAATGTCACACTTTTTATAGGTGATAAAGTTGAACAGATTTTAATTTTGTAAACATTGACAAGTAACTATTGGATACATTAAATAAATAGATCATCTCATTATTGCCTATCAGAGAAGAGTTTTCAAAAAGGAAAATAAATTGGATTTATTGAACACAAAAATGAGGCTGTCAGATTTGCTTCAAGGTATGTGTCAATACAGCTTAGGGTTTAGTGTCTCCGTCAGGCCTACGGGCTATATGCTGCCCAACTTCAGGTCGGGCCAAATGTCATCTTCCTAGATTTAATGAAATAACTAAATTTTTATGTAATAGTTATTGGAGAGATTTTCATGGATCAATCTTCTTAATCATATCATGATCGGGGTTTAAACATTGATTTTCAATAAAGTTTGTTTTTAACTGTTTGCCTGCAAATGTTAACACATCCTCTCTATCCAGTTTATCAACAGTCTTTGCAATGTAGACCCACATCACTCATTTCCCAGCTCTAAGCTTTCATTATTTGTTTTAATTCTTAAATGCTTGCTATTTAATTAATTTAAAGTTTATTATCTTTTTTTGTAACATTGCTGAAAAAACTCATTCTCTCCCTTTAATGGCTTAGCCTGATAATATTTTCTCTTCAAACTCAAAGCTTCTTTTGCTATGCTTACAACTTCCTTCTTGTTTAGCTATGCTTACAACTTCCTTCTTCTTTAGCCATGCTTACAACTTCCTTCTTCTTTAGCCATGCTTACAACTTCCTTCTTCTTTAGCCATGCTTACAACTTCCTTCTTCTTTAGCTATGGTAAAAGCTTCCTTCTTCTTTAGTTTTGCTTAAAACTTCCTTTTTATTTAAACGTTAAGCCCACAACTTTCTTCTAGGAAGTGAACTTTGAAATATTCCTGTTAAAAAGGGGTGGGGAGGGAGGAATGTGGTGAAATTAAGTCATCGTTTTTTTGGTAGTAGGGGTATTTACCATAATGGGTTCAGCCTGATACAAATGAACTTTATACATCTGGTACAGCACAGGTTCAGCACGGGCTCAGCACAGGTCCAGCATAGGTCCAGCTGTCTTCTGACTTGGCTGTCTGATGGCTTTGCTGTCTGATGAGGGAAATACATTATGAGATGACTATATTTTATTCCTAGGGAAATAAAATTATGGAATGACTAGGTGTTATTCTAAAGGAAGAATATTATGGGATGACTGAGTTATTCTAAGGGAAACTAAATATACCTATAGACTTAATAATACCTTTTAAATAAAATGATGAACTCACCCCTGTATTAATTAAGTACATGCCCTCCCACCCCTGTGTTCAATCAATGGATTGCTCCAACTGCTTGGCCTAACACTAACATTGCTTTTAGTTTGTTTAGTTGCCTGGCTAAAACAACCATATGCTTTCTTAAGTGACCATTCCAAGGCACTTCTTTCAGCAGCTTCTCGCTGCACCTGTAACATTTCCCCAGGGAATCACCTACGGTTTTGTACATCCCTCCCTTATTGTGTCACCCATTTCACTCTGGTCTAGCAATTGCTCAGTTTCTCATTATGCCTTTATACTTTATTAACCTCACCAAAAGTTTCTTTCTTTTGAGAATCATTAGATGCAAGCCAGTGGTTCTCTAAGTTTGACTCACTGGCTTCCAATCAGACAAAACGTTTTGTACATCCCACATAGAATTTCTTTGCGTTGGAAAATTTATTTGATGAATTATAAAAAAAAAAATGATTTGAGAATGCATTTCACGATGCCCAGTACACTGTTCCTTTGAACACTTTTTAGGAAACAATGAGAAAAACTAAGCGGATTCCCATTGGTTAGGCTTTCATGTTTTATTGTAAAAGGAAAATAAGAGCTTAACTCAGATCTTATTTGTCTGATCTAATGAAATCTTGTTGATTAAAATTCTTCGACGAGGATGTTTAATCTGGCGGTGTAAAGATACAGCTGGGCATCGGAAGGTGTAAGCCTAACGAAGAGTTGAAGTGTAAAGTGAAGTTTAGGCATAACAGAAAGTCGAAGTGTAAAGTTAAGTTGAAGCATAATGGAACGTTGAAGTATAAAGAAAAATTGAAGTGTCAAGGAAAGTTGAAATAAAAAGGAACGTTGAAGTGTTAAGTCTATTGGAAGTATAATGGAAAGTTGAAGTGTCATAGAAAGTTGAAGTGTCAACTAAAGTTGAAGTCTAACGGGAAGTTGAAGTGTCATGGAAAGTTGAAGTGTCAACTAAAGTTGAAGTGTCAACGAAAGTTGAAGTCTAACAGAAAGTTGAAGTGTCATGGAAAGTTGAAGTGTCAATGAAAGTTGAAGTCTAACGGAAAGTTCAAGTGTCAACGAAAGTTGAAGTCTAACGGAAAGTTGAAGTGTCAACTAAAGTTGAAGTCTAAAGGAAAGTTGAAGTGTCATGGAAAGTTAAAGTGTCAACGAAAGTTGAAGTATAACGGAAAGTTGAAGTGTCAACAAAAGTTGAAGTCTAACAGAAAGTTGAAGTGTCATGGAAAGTTGAAGTGTCATGGAAAGTTGAAGTGTCATGGAAAGTTGAAGTGTCAACGAAAGTTGAAGTCTAACGGAAAGTTGAAGTCTAACGGAAAGTTGAAGAGTCAAGGAAAGTTGAAGTGTCAACTAAAGTTGAAGTCTAACGGAAAGTTGACGTCTCATGGAAAGTTAAAGTGTCATGGAAAGTTGAAGTATAAATTAAATTTGAAGTGTTAAGTAAAGTTGAAAAGTAAAGTAAAGTTGAAGACTAACAGAAAATTGAAGTATAACGGACTAGTTGTGCTCATGGAATCACATAATCTTAAGTTCAATCTGCAGCTCTGGTAGGAAGCTCATAAGAAGCTCAACAGTTCACATTTAAGGAAAGTTTCAGATGATGAATGCAAGCTGTACATTACAGCACTGACCAATGCTCGCGTATTCTCATGTGTATAAATTGTGCAGATGAGTTTCAGCTTAAACATAATGGGTGCCCTAGTCTATGCCCCGTTTTTCTGTCGCCCATCCCAAAATCAATACTTTATCATCCGCCTACTGACTTGTCAAACTTATGAAAGAACCCCAATAAGTTATTAGACCCATCAACAGCTCAAATATTGAGGTCACATTTCAGCCTGTCTCTGGAGGTCACATTTCAGCCTGTCTCTATCTGAAGACGTACGAGGTCTTGTGCTCAGAGATCACTGCGTGGGAATGAACTGCAAGAAATAAACAAGTCACCACAGAGAGGATCTTCTGATGGTGACCAGATAGTTTTGGTTTGAGACTTTCATAAACTAAATGAGATCATCTGATGTTGACCAGATAGTTTTGGTTTGAGACTTTCATAAACTAAATGAAAAGATCTTCTGATGATACCCATATAGTTTTGGTTTGAGATTTTCATAAACTAAATGAGAAGATCTTCTGATGGTCACTAGACAGTTTTGGTTACAGTTTTTCATAATCGAAATGAGAAGATCTTCTGATGGTCACTAGACAGTTTTGGTTTGAGTCTTTCATAAACTAAATGAGAGGATCTTCTGATGGCTTCAAAGAAAAAAAGATGTTTGATCGTAAGAGCACAAGAGGACAGCTAATCCATTGGACACGTATATTTTACTAAAAACAGTTAGTATGTGACATAAAAAGTTACTTGTCGGGGACAAAAGAGCCGACCGTTATGTAGATTAAGGCGGCGATAATGTAGATTCAGATGACGATAAAAGTACGTTATGAGTACGTTAATGTCAAATCAGACAGCGACAATGTAGGTTCAGATGACGATAATGTAGGTTCAGATAGCGATAATGTGGATTCAGATGGCGATAATGTAGATTTAGATGACGATAATGTAGGTTCAGACGGTTTTAATGTAAATTCAGACGGCGTTAATGTAAATTCAGACGGTGAAAATGTAGGTTCAGACGGTGAAAATGTAGGTTCAGACGGTGAAAATGTAGGTTCAGACGGTGAAAATGTAGGTTCAGAAGGAAATAATGTAGATTCAGATGGCGATAATGTAGGTTCTGATAATTATATTGTATGCTTAGAAGACGATAATGTAGGTTCAGTAGACGACATTGTAGGTTCATATGACGATAATGTAGGCTCCAATGACGACAATGTAGCTTAGGATGACGACAATGTAGAGTCAAGAGTAGCTGAGATGAAGATAAAATAGAGATTCAGAGAAGGCGGGACACTTTCCTGAGAAATCAATGCATCCCATCCATAGACTCTATTCCTATGCTTCTCAAATATTCAGTTGTTCTTCAACAGCAGGGGATTTCTACATAACTGTTCTTTCATTTTTAGTTAGTAACAGTAGGCATATACTAGAAGCTTTTCTATTCATTAACTCCCTTTTATTATCTTTATATAAATGCATGTGAGTTATCTGCCTTTATTTCTTTCAACTATTTACAACCTGAAAAACATAGATTATCATAGGTCAATATTAGAAGTAGATTTCCTTTGACTCTAACAAAATGTCACGCCATTATGATCATAAATAGCGGTCGCATGGTCTACATGGATTGAATAGTTATTTAATAACCAACTCTAGCCTACCGTTATACTTGATCATTCGCGCATTATGACTGTCACCATATTTATTAGTCTATTTAAAGTTCATAAACTTACTCTAGTACATCGCCATGCCATACTAATTTATATTTCTCACATATTTATGTCATCATATTACCACATATTATGTCTGTCGACCCTCTTAACATGCACCATCCATTGATTAAAGCTATTACAACATTTAGAGAAACCAAGGGTATCAATTGCACCAG